GCCAGCTTACTCTCAGGGACCTGGAAGGACCAGTACCAGTGACCTGCGTCCAGCTTACTCTCAGGGACCTGGAAGGACCAGTACCAGTGACCTGCGTCCAGCTTACTCTCAGGGACCTGGAAGGACCAGTACCAGTGACCTGCGTCCAGCTTACTCTCAGGGACCTGGAAGGACCAGTACCAGTGACCTGCGGCCAGTTCACTCTCAGGGACCTGGAAGGACCAGTACCAGTGACCTGCGTCCAGCTTACTCTCAGGGACCTGGAAGGACCAGTACTAGTGACCTGCGTCCAGCTTACTCTCAGGGACCTGGAAGGACCAGTACCAGTGACCTGCGGCCAGCTTACTCTCAGGGACCTAGAAGGACCAGTACCAGTGACCTGCGTCCAGCTTACTCTCAGGGGACCTGGAAGGACGAGTACTAGTGACCTGCGTCCAGCTTACTCTCAGGGACCTGGAAGGACCAGTACCAGTGACCTGCGGCAGCTTACTCTCAGGGACCTGGAAGGACCAGTACCAGTGACCTGCGTCCAGCTTACTCTCAGGGACCTGGAAGGACCAGTACCAGTGACCTGCGCCAGCTTACTCTCAGGGACCTGGAAGGACCAGTACCAGTGACCTGCGTCCAGCTTACTCTCAGGGACCTGGAAGGACCAGTACCAGTGACCTGCGTCCAGCTTACTCTCAGGGACCTGGAAGGACCAGTACCAGTGACCTACGTCCAGCTTACTCTCAGGGACCTGGAAGGACCAGTACCAGTGACCTGCGGCCAGTTCACTCTCAGGGACCTGGAAGGACCAGTACCAGTGACTTGCGTCCAGCTTACTCTCAGGGACCTGGAAGGACCAGTACCAGTGACCTGCGTCCAGCTTACTCTCAGGGACCTGGAAGGACCAGTACCAGTGACCTGCGGCCAGTTCACTCTCAGGGACCTGGAAGGACCAGTACCAGTGACCTGCGGCCAGCTTACTTTCAGGGACCTGGAAGGACCCGTACCAGTGACCTGCGGCCAGCTTACTCTCAGGGACCTGGAAGGACCCGTACCAGTGACCTGCGGCCAGTTCACTGGTCTCTCTCAAGTGGCAATAATTTATTTTGAGCTGATTTATATGTTTGTTTTAGTATAGATGTACTCCAAAAAATAATTTGCACAAGAAATGGCTATTTTTGCTGGGTTAAGTAGTCTGCTTATATTAAAAAAGTCTGACCCCGAATTTAAAATTTACCAATATGGATTTTTATGCAACAAAATTTCCTCTATATCTCCTTTATCTTCACTTCTCTTTCCTCCCGCCCATCCCCTCTCATTTTCCTTATTGCCTCCGTCTTTCTCCTTTCTTTTCCACCTCCGTTCTGTCTCTCTCCCTTCCCCCCCCCCATCTTCTCTGTTATGAAGAAGAAAATGTTCTTAAACAGTGTAAATTCTAGCGGATTTTCCAAGATGAGGTTGTTGATGGCGTCAGTTTCCTTTAAACTACCTAAAAACTCTCCGGCTATATACTGCTTTATACTTTCACTTTCAACATGTTAGTCATCATCGTGTCTCCACTTCTTTAACGTCAGAGGCAAGCAATGGTAGATTCTGTCATGTAGCATTAACCGGACTAGAAAACAAAAGCTAGGGAAGAGCGTGTAGGAACACCAAGTCAACATATTGACTTTTTAAAGTGTACAAATGCATTCATGTGCAATTTTGACAAAATAGCGAGTCGGTATATTTCATCCTCAAGCTCAGGCCCTCTCCATCAAGCTGACCCATCAAGGGAGGTGCCGGAAAGGGGGTGATGGGCTTTTGCTCCAAGGACTTAGACTAATCCTCCCTTGGATCAAATTCGATTGCCTTTCATTATGAACGTAATATTTCAGCAAACTGGGCCACAGCTCAGTGCTTATTAAATTGTTTTTCTTTGGATGTCTGTACACTATTATGTTTCACTGCACGTTTGCGAAATGGAGCCTCAGGGTGTCCGCTGGAGGCGGCGTCCCTCTTAAGACAAAGGAACCCTTTATTAGATTCCTTGTACAGTTCTCTCTTCTTTTGGCTGCTTGAGCCATCGTCTCTCCAGTGAATGTGTGGCAGCACTGCCGGCACAGCACTGCCGACAAATAACAATGATCCACTGATGATGTTACTTAACATCAGCTAGTACTTTCGCCAGCCGAGCTGCCCTTGAAAACATGAAAGCTGGGTCAGAACTACGAAGTCTAAGTTTCTTGCCTTTCTAACGGAAAGCCTTCAGCGGTAGCAACTCATTATTCACAAATAGCAGTTTTCGTAATATTCTGACCTAATTTTATCATTTGCGATATGCCTAATGAGAATAAGGTTCATTTTTGATGCTTAACTGATGGTGTTTCTGCGAAGTACGCCAGCAACTCTGGCCGGCTAACCACGTCTGTTGTGCAATGGAGAAGTTTATATTTGCTGCTGCACTAGTTAATAATCTGATCAGCCTTCGTAGTGTTGCAACTTGAGTCAGTTGAGACAAAAGTATTGATAAAAAATTAGGAAAAAGAAAACCTTGAAGCCTTGGCGAGGTGATGTAAGAGGACGTGGTAGAGTGAACGCGGCGGCGAGTGGCAACAGGAGAAGGGAGGGTGGAGAGTGTAGCAGTGTAGCCAGTCACAAGCTGTGAGTCGCTCAGAACACGGCGCCACTCACCAGCACCCGCACTTCTCAACCCTCAACATGAGGGCTTAAAGTTTCTTCGCCTAAATCAAATATGAGTGTTTAATCTAACTCCTGGAAGGTGGAGGAGTACCAGCCAATTCTCGAACCGCTTTAGTTTTCCCTTGCACTCTCTTAGTGTTTATTTTTCGAAACCCTTGAGGAAACTACATTCGAAACGTCGCCTGACGTCTGAAAAATACTTTTCGTCGGATGTATTTTTTCTATACTTACAAGAAAGAAGTGGTATAATATGGAGGTCAATAGCATACAGTAGATCTTTAGTCTCAACATCTCCGTTACTTTCTCGCTCACTCCACCCAACAAGAAATGCAACGACGGGTATCAGTACTGACTTCGTGAAACCTTCAGAATCAGTACTCATCATGAAGCTTCTGGTATTTTCAGCGCTCTTAGTCTTCAGCGGCTTCCCACAGGCCTCTCCTGGCCCCCAGCAAAAGTTCCCAGACGACTTCTACAGCGACGTGAACACCGCCCCAGGTCCTGGGTCCATCTTCAACGAGGGCAGCATATCACGTCCGGACGCAGGTGAGGTCAACGTCGGCAGCCTAGAAGTTAGCCACCTCACAGACCCTCCCGCTCCTTCAGGGTCTCCGAACTCCCAGGGGGGTCTCAACTCGAGCTCCGGCAACGCCCACTTTAATGTCGATCTCAGACTCTTGTATAACATGATTCTGAATGACTCTCATCCCTCTGACTCCAGAAACAACGAGAACAGAGGTGTGGACCAGTGATTTTACAAGAGCAACAGGTGGCCTTGGCAGCATGTGACTTTGTAGACGGCACCATCTACAGTGCTTGGTTGTGAGGCTGTCCTATGTTTACAATCTCGGTCGTGAGAAAGAGAGAGAGGGAGAAAGAGAGAGAGAGGGGGGAGAGGTGTTAACTTTTGCTTTTATTATTATGACCCTAATGAATGAGGTGTTAATTGTGAAGACAGGTCTAATGTTGCAATTATCTTTTGGCATGACTTGCACGTGTGATTTATGTCTGCACCTTTAGCACCACACGCATACTGTCCTTAAACCTGCACATTAGCATTTAGTACAGCACCATTGCATAGCACGCCATTCACATCCGCATGCAGCTTACGTTACGAGAATAGATTTTACCCATAGAGAATTTCCGATCATTTTACTTGGTTCACACCAACAGATCTAAGAATGCTGCACTGTTCATGTACCTCTTGAATTTTCATCATCGCACATTCCAGTTTCCTCAAATGATCGCACACACCTCTGATTTATGCCACACACTCTTGCACAGCCCCAGCTACACCATCCACATAACGTCCCTAATACGCCCACTCGATGCCAACACATCCCTCTCTCCCATGCTAATGTTCTACTAGCTAACGTATTCCCTAAAAAATGTGCCTCCTTTACCTACTCAATATGCCCACCACAAGCCACCATACCCATCCCCTCAAATTAGCCAATCCTTTGTTTGGGTTAGGCTAGCCTGAGGTGCGGTAATTCCAGCTCTGTTCGAAGGAAACCTTTGAAGATGTCATAACTGATGAACCCTTACTGGAACACTTGATGCTGTCCTCGTTGTCCTGTTGAAGTCTCCCAGCTCAGATTGACATATTTCAACACTTTAGGGAATGAAAAGCCACAATACCGTAACTGAAACTACATAAATAGGAGAAAGAAAGTTGTGACGATGTTTTGGCCCGACTTGGTGTGTGACTAGTTAATGGTCCAAGTCGGACCGAAACGTCGTCACAAGTTTTTCTCTAATATGAGGGTTATCTGTGTATTGTTTCAGCATCTTGTATGTGTAATAGAATATGACAGAGAAACAGTCAGCTTTTCTTCTTACTGTGTAAATGTCATAGAGGGTATCAGCACACTGCTGATGTAGCTAGTTTTATTAAGCAGACAAGACTCTCCCGAGTCAGAAGGTCCTTTCACTTAGAGAAAAAGTTGACTACAACAATCCTGCCAGTGATAACTATTGTGTACACATCCCACTGTATATAACGCGCACTCCGCACATCCCGTCCATACTTATACCACCCTAACGTCATCCCTCACATCCTCGTCCCCAACAATGTCACCCACCCACTCTCGCACTGCATCCCGCCCAGAGTCACACCCCTCACCCTACCATCACACCACCACCCACTCCTCAATTTTTTTTTACACCCAACCTAAAGCCCAAGTCCAAGTTCAATCTCACCCACCCACCATCACAGCTGGAAAAAGTGCAAAGGTCTGCAACGAAACTAGTCCCACTCTATCCGCCTGTCGTAACACCCCATCACTATATCACCCTTATTAAGGCTTTATACTTTTCTTCCCTCACAGCTATTCCACAGAAGTGCTGGTACAAGAGCAATCAGTATGACTGCGGACTCTCGGTGTCTTGCGTTTTCCAGGGCTCCAAGCCCGTCGACCTGTGCTCTGGAGGCATGATCTGGTCCTGCTGCGTGCCCAGGAACAAAGTCGACGCTGTCGATGAGAATCTGGGAGCCATCGGCAACGACGTCAGTAAGTAGATCCCTCTCTTGTTGCATGTAAGAATGTTGTCGCATTAATGCTTTAAGAGGAAGTTGGATTACTTCCTCTTATAAAAACCAGATCAGCCAGACTGTGACGGCTATTTAGGCCTGCGAGCCGCTAGCAGTAACAGTCCGGTTGACCAGGCTGTCACTACGAAAATCTCGCCTCAGGAGGGACTGACAATGTGTAGGATACCCTTGAAGCCATTTACAGGTATATTACAGGTATATTTGAAGTGAGTAGACCTACTTGACTGTTATTGCTTGAATTCAGCGCTGTATGTCCCTTGTGGGTTTAGGGTTTAGTTATAATTATAATAATATTTGAATTTACAAATATTCTGCATTTTTTCCTAATGCTCTTTGAGTGTTATCATTAATTTCGAACGGAATACAGCTCCAAATCTTTCGATCAAGAGCCCTTTGCAAGTACCAAGACACGCCCCTTGAGGAAAGGGTGTCCACTGTAAATTTGAGGAACTTATGCATAACAATAGTCACACATTCTTGTGTATAGTTTCCCCATGGCTTTCTATCTGAGCATAATCTATGACGACCTCTTCGTTATGTGAAGATGAACTGATCAGGTGAGTAAGAAGGTAAGGCTAAGTAAGTCTTAGTGTATTACTCATAATATATCCTACGTGCGTCCATATTTATATATGTATATAAAGTTCAAAATTAAGTGTAATATAAAAAATCCATTCAAGGTGATCAATCTAGTTGCTTTCTCTTCTAAGAAATATCGCTCCCTTGACTCTTCACTAAAAAGTGGGTAACAGTAACCCTTCTCCAGGCCAGGCGTGCAACAAACAACACTCCATCAGTCAACGCCATATCCTCTCTAGTGAAAACATGAACACCCAGAAACCTTACAGGTGCGCAAGGTCTCCACTCAGCGTAGTTCCCAGCTGTCTGTCAACACCTGATTGACATAGTCCTCGCATTTTACTCTGTCTCTTTAAAAAACAAATATACTCGCTCATATGCATAAGTTTCATACATATACATACATACATACATGTATGTATGTATGTATCGCATGCATGTATGCATACATACATACATACATACATACATATACCCCTCTTTACTCCACAAAAATCGCAGCCACTCTAGTTGCTTATCTCTTTTCACCAACATTGTCTGCCCTCAGAAATTTCATATGGTACTTCTTAAAATGCTCTACCTCCATGTACAGTATCTGGTACCCTCATTTCATACTACCTCTGTGCATATGGTATCCTTAATGCATACTATATTCATGTCACCCCTCAGTACATACATTTTCCATGTATGTGACAGTGCATACTTCCTCTACATACATGACTCTACATACAACAAGTATATGGTACTCTTCAGGGTGCACTTTTTCCATGTATATGACACTTCCTCATGTAATTTCTCTAGTACTCGTCAGTATCCACACTTTTCACTACAGTATTGTATAATAAACGGGGAAAATTGCCATACGTAGCTTTGCTCTTGGATTAATGGTTACCTGTTTTATATTATTACTCAATGGTACATCTGCATTTCTAGGTGCTTAAAAAATGGTTTCCATTTCCATTGGTATGACAAATATTCTTCTTTACAGTAATTACTTGTTTGTAGTTAAATTGCTAAGAATTCTTTTGTAATTTTTTAATATTTCTTCCATAATTAATGATAATGCAGGTAAAATTTAGTCACATTTTTTAACATGCAAATATTTTTTTTTATTTGAGAGCCAGAGTAAAAAAATATACATCTTTGTATCTAGGATATAAAACTGATTTAAAAATCCGGCAACTCCTCTTAAGTAGGTAGAAGATGCATAACTTGCGCTAGTTGTTTGTATTATAAAATGGCTATTAATCCTAGCTGCTTACGTAACATGGATTGCTTTATACGAAGTAATTATACTTTGCTATTCAAATTTGCCTGAAGTTAGAGTTAAGGTTTATGGGAAGATATAATTAAGGTTTGTGGGAAGATAGAATTAAGGTTTGTGGTGGAAAATGGTTTGTGTAGAGATAGAATGCAGTATTGTGGCACTATAGAGGTTAGCCCTTCACATGTTTAAACTAAGGAAATAATTATACCATTAAACCATTGAGTGTGAACAGCAGACGTCAGAGGTACAAACAATGTTTTGTTAGGGAGAAGGACAGCAGCAGGAGAAGGATTAGATGAAGCAGGAAAAAGACTAGGCGAGGAAGGAAGAGGTACAGTGTGCTGAAAGTGAGTGCGTGAATGAAAACAAAGTAGACCAGGCCAATATATTTTGTCGAACAAGCTTGGAGACAACAGTGTGTGGTAATGATGATTTATATGGAGGAGGCGAAAGTAAGAAGGACTGGGGTGGAATGGGAATGATGACCCCACTGGCGTTCTAGTGGTAGAGCTTCTACGGCGGGATGGTAGGAAAAAAGAGGACTTGTTTAGTCTTCATTGGCATTATTACATATCCATGTTGAGGAGGTAATTCCACAGGGGTCATACAGCGCCTGGGGAATAGGAGGCCATCAAGATTTGAGACGGGAAAGAGGGGCTGAGCTCCTATTCTTCAGATCAAGAGTCCTCTGCCAGCCTCAAGGCAACCTATTTAAACGGTCATTATAAAATAGGTCTTTCCAACTTGCCAATATTGCATACAAGTTTAAATGGGTTAGTGGATATTGCACATATATTTGTGGCTAAATTTTGGGAAAGCTAGATAAGCTCCGGTTAATTAATGATTGATACATAAGCTAATGTACCACTAATGTAGCACTAGTACGTGTCATTAGATCACCAAGACATGTAAAGGGGCCGTATATTGTTGTTAACTTTTAGTGTATTGTAGTGACTGTAATGAATTTTTTGAAGTCATGTCGACCAGGACTCCTCATTTACACTATATGTTAATTGGATAAATGTGTAAAATGCCAATTTGTAGTGTTAGTGGTCCTAGTATTATTGATTTTAATGGTGCTAGTATTGTTAATCTTAATTGTCCTAATATTATTGATCTTAGTGATCCTAGTATTATTGATCTTAGTAATCTTAACATTATTGATCTTAGTGATCATAGTATTACTGATCTTAGTGATCCTAGCATTATTGATCTTAGTATTAGCGGGTCTGTGACTCTTCCCTCACTCACTGAGCCTTCACCTCATCATCAGATCACCAGCAGTTCTTCAGTGGTGGCAGCCGCCCCAGCTCCTTCAACAACAACAGACCCCATGACAGACCTCCACACATTGATTCTGATTTCGAGCACGACGATGACACTTTTTTCCCCAACACCCACAGACCCTCGTCTATTCTCAGACCGCACAGACCTCACGATAGACCGTTCAGACCACCCCACAGACCTCCGCGGCCGCCTCCTTTTATCCGACCTGATAATGGTAGACCTAGTCTCGACTTGGACGAGAATTTTAGTTCTTTTAACCGGCCGCATAATACTTTTAACCACTTCGACTCGTTCGACAATCGACCTCACGACTTCGCTCGACCAGGATCGAGTCGGCCTCGACCGCCGTTTTTATCTGCGGGTCCTCCCGAGCCTGCTGCCAGTCGTTTCGGTATGACAAGATATCCATTGTTTTTCTTCATCTTTATTGCACTTTAAATGTGTTCTTGCTTTATTGCACCCTGTGATCTTTCTCCTTCCTACTGCTTGTTGATACAGCTGACATATATTGTGGAATTGTGATATAAATTAGGAATGCATTTAAAATTCCACTTTCCAGTTGCCTTGATATCTGCTGAAAAATAAGTTAAAATGATTAAATTGCTGAATCCCAGTATCAGTCAAGATAATTTACTTATGCTTTTAATTGCTCTACTGAAAAAAAAAAAGTCTGAAATTTGTTCAGTGAAGTAAATTAATGACTAAACAGTGTTCAGACATGAAGAAACAAATCGCATGAAAAAGTGAGAGGGAAAAATTAACTGATTGCCGCTTGCAAAGGCAATGCGAAAAGTGGCTTAGTTTTGTTAATACTGTGGTGTATGCGATAGCTACACGAACATTATGCGAGTTACTTCCTGCTTCATGAAGTATATCAGTAGTTCACTCTGCCCTTCAAGTGAGAGTGGAAAAGTGAGTAACTAAACAGTACATTTTTGCTTCACTTAAAGAAAAAAAGTTTAAGTGACAGGAGGCGCCCAGTGGTAATGTGAATAACGCAACAATACGGAGTTTCTCCAGAAGATTAGAACAATAGGTGTTGAAACGTCAAAATAATAATTCGAATGAGTGTTACACCTGAGCGGTTGAAATGTTACTCGGACACAGAGTGAACAATTGTGTTCACATATCAGAGAAAATTAAATCCACGAGTGCTGGGGAGTGAGATACTTATAATTACCAATTGTATTTACAGCAACAGAGATTAAGCTTGTGGTGTCCCTTATATTATAAATTAATCTTAAGTCTGCAAACGTCCCAGTATTTATGCCACTCCATTACTAATGTGATTTTCATGCTAGAAATCTTCCACACTGGGAAAATTACTTGTTACTAATGTGTTGTCTCAAGATGTTTAAAGTTATGGAACCTTGAAAAAAAGCCACTATGTAAAGCTTTTGTCAGTTTTAGCTATGTAATGAGAGAAACATTGTGCACCAAAAAGCTTGTTTTGAACACTGTTATGTCCTTCACCGTTGTCAACAGTAAGAAATTTGAATCTATGGTCTTTTCCTTTCTTAAATTTGAAATATATTTTTATAAGCTGATATACAGTCAGATCTCGGCAGCTCTTATTCTTCCTCAATATTATTAGTGGATTTGCACATCTCCTTTTCTTTTGCTCTCGTCTGACTTCTAAATTTAATTCTTAGTAGTTTTAGTATCTCATATTTGGTGTACTGAACTTATATATTTTATAAGCTTATCGATTTGTCTTTCCTCTTTACGCAGTTACGTAAACATTGGTTAACATGCGTTAATCTAGGCTAATCAAAAGTAAAAAAAAAAATGCATATAATCTTTGTAAAGTGTTAAAGCCCGGAAAAAATGACGGGAGGAGCATTCTGTGCAGAACTATAACATAGACAGGAGGACAGGTTGGTGTGTGGTGGTCGGTACTCGCTCTGGTTTCACAGCTGCTGAGTAAGTGCCTTTGTGTCAGTTAAGTGGTGTAATATGCTTTACACATCAGAGCTCCCATGAAAATGTTTCTCCTTCGAAAATTGTCAAAAACGTGTTGAAACAACGTATTACTCTCGACAACCGGAGTTATTGCCACAAGTTCCCAAACTGTTAAAATTTAATGCTCCTCATCAACGTTCCGGGAAAAACGAAAAGGTAGTTTCCTCTCCTTCCTTCCTTCCCTCCCTCACCTCTTGATGCCACTAGAAACATGTACATGAGCAGATAAACGCAGTGTAAAAGGATTAGAATATATCAGGTTGAAAGCTATCTACATTCGTGGAGAACTGCCGATTTGGGTTCGAATCCTGCTGTCTGCGATGTTTCCTTGCACATACTTGCTTCTGCGAGGGGCATTGAGTATAATACCGCTTGTGGGGCCAGAACATATAGGAGGAGAATGAAATAGATTGAGACTATGCTAGAAGCTCACTGGTGTGCCCACTGGTTAAGTAGAGTGCATGTTGGTGAGCGAAAAAAAACTGTAGATGAATGAATGAATGAGAGAAGGGGTGAGGGAGTGGGAGTAAATGAGATCAATGGGAAGATGAGTAACAGAATAACTTGTATGAGCGAGTGTTTGACGCAGTTGGATGAGTGCGTGAATGAGTGAGCCTGGAGTTCTATGAAATTCTAGACATCGTGTGTATAGATAAGTGGGTAGAACGATGGATAAGTGGTTTGGTTCAGTAGTTGGGTGGTAGACAGACAAGTGAGATCGGTTGATGGATAGACATGGATGGGCAGACGTGATGGGAGGGCAA